ATTCATACAAGTTCTTTACTTGACAAATAAATTGTCCCCCCTCCCCCATTAAAGGCCTCTGTCTGACACACATTTACAAAGAGATTCAAAAGTGAAGACCCACTGTATGCTGAGTCAAAATGTTTAGAAGAAAGATACATGATAAACTGTCTTCCAATATTTCTTTTTAAATCAGTTTCATGATATCCATTCATTTTTGTTCTTAGTGTCTGTGCTCTTACTGTTCTGTTCAGTTTTTTCCTGTGCTAATGAGTTTGAGATTATTCCCCACTTTCTCTTCTATGAGGTTCAGTGTATATGGTCTTACATTGGGGTCTTTGATCCATTTGGAGTTTTGTTCAGGGTGATAAGTATGGGTCTAATTGCATTCTTCTACATGTAGCCATCAAGTTTGGCCAGAACCATTTGTTGAAGATGTTGTCTGTTTGTCCAATGTGCATTTCTGGACTCTATATAAAAGACCTGGTGTCCATTGGTGTGTGGATTTACATCTGGGTCTTCAGTTAAATTCCATTGATCAGATCAGTGTCTGTTTTTATACCAGTATATTCAGCCAGTAATTTCTAATATTTCTCAATGCAAACATGAGCTAAATGTGCTTAAGAGGGGCAGGAAAGATGGCTTAGCAGTCAAGAGCACTTGCTGCTTTTTCAGAAGACCCAGGTTCATTTCTGAGCTCTCTCATAATCCATCTTTAGCGCCAGTTCCAGAGGATCCAATGTCTTCTTCATACCTCCACAAGTACTAAGCATGCACATGGTACACATACATGCATACATACATACATACAAAGACATACAGTAAATAATTTAAAAAAGTGCTTGTAATATGAAAATGTAAACTACAGCTGTCTTCAACAACCTGCATCCCAGAGAGCTGTAATCAGTCCCTTATCTGAAATACAGTACAAAACAAAGCAGCCATAATTCAGCCATGGAAGGTCTGAGAAGGTAGGGACAGAAGTGAGGAGTGGCAAAAGAAACTAAGTTGTTCTTTGGAAGGCTCTTTCCTTGAGTGCCAGGAAAACAGTAAGAGGAATTTGTTAGGTGAGAAAATCAGGACTCCCACGTTTCAGGCAAAACGATTACATGCAGCAGAGGCTGTAACTCACCAATACCTACTAGCACTGGTTTTCTGGCCTACTACTGAGATGCTGCTTGTAACTGCTCTGCAGTTTTCTCTTCTGACAGTAGGTAAAGCAGGAAGTCTTCCCAACAATTACAAGGATGTCTGTTACCAACTTGGCATCACCCTTAATCCATTTGTTTTGAATCTCACCCATCAAAAGACCAAGAAGACCTTTTTTATTATTCTAATTTTTTCTCACATGTGGGGGTAAAAATAAGATATCCAAGAGGCTTGGGTATTTGAACACTCGGTCCCCAGAGTGTGCTTGGGGAACGTTAGGTAGTATAATCTTGCTAAAGGAAGTATGTCACTGGTGGTTGGCTTTGAGAGTAAAGGCATCATGCCACCTCTATTTTCCTCTCTTTGATTTGGGCTTGAGATTCAAGATGTGAGCTCTGGGCTCCTTCCTTCTGCCACCATCACTGCTGCCATGCTGTCGCCACCATTATGGACTCAAACCCTCTATAACTGTAAGCCTAGATAAATTCTTCTATAATTGCTTTGGCCATGGTGTTTTATCGCAGTTAACAGAAAGGTAATTAGTACACAGTTACCAAGTCACAGTCATCAAAAGATTTAGAAAGCCTTTTATACACCATCAGTTCTATTCGATGTGACCTTAAATGGAAAGTATTCCATCTTCTGGGCTGTTAAGATGGCTCAGCAGGTAAAGCCACTTGCTTTCAAGCCTGACAACTTAAGTTTGATCCCCCAGGACCCACATGGTAAACTATTCTGTAATGTCCATGTGTGTGCTATGGCATGCATCCATGCATGTATGCACATACACAGAGAGAAGAAGGGAGGGAGGCGGAGGGGGGGAGGGAAGGAGGGAAGGGGAGAGAGAGAATGAAATAATGTAGAAAGAAAGTATTCAATCTTCTGACCTCCACAGCACATGGAGCTGGGGGTGACAGAAATTGGTAATATGGGAAGTGACTGTCTTCCTAGCAATCTGGATGACGGAGAGGAAGCCTTGGCCCCACAGGATTAGAAAGGCCAACGTGGAAGTGGCAAGGGTAGGAAGGGAGTGGCTGTCAATGCTCATCTGGGTGATCACATAGTCAGAAGCTGAGTCAATGCATCTCCTGCTCTGACAGCTCCAGGGATGGATCCCTGAGAACAACCAACCTGTCAAGTCTCAGCAGAGAAGCACCAGGGGCAACATGGGTACCTCCCAGGGAGAAAGACAAGCCAGGGCTCAGAAGAGCAGGACAAAGGAGAGACCAACAACACAAACAGGCACGCTTGGCTGAAGTGTGAGCAACATCCGTTCTGTGGAACACACTGCAGTTCTTCTTGAAAACGTGTCTAGAAAGATTAAAAGATTTTTTTATGGACTTCAAGAATATAAAGCGGGACTATTAATTTTGAAATTCGTACTGCATGAGACTCACTGTGACTCCTTATAGGAGTCTTAATAGCTGACTTGGTGAAGGCAAAATGTGGCCAGACTTTCTTAACAATGCATTCAGCATCAAGCACTTTTCCGAGGAAACTAATACCGAGGCTAATAGTACCTAACATTGAAAATGGTGAGGAAGAAAGAACGGTTGGTGCTCCTCCTTTGAGTAGCATGTGACATAAATACCTGTCGGCATCAGATGCTTAGTTATTTGGTACGTGTGGTACTTCGGGGAGATTTGGAATGAAACCTGGTTCCAATCATTAATACTCTGGCTCATACAGATAGCACTGCTTACAGGGCAAGCATATTTTAAGAAAATAAACAAGATAAGGCAAAGTGTTCCTTCAACTATAGAATATAAAATGGGCAAAAGGAAACTGAGGTAGAAAGAGAGACAAATGTTTCCTGCAACCAGCTCAACTGTCCAGGGTAAGGTACAACAGAATTCTAAAATGACATCAAAGAAACCCTCTGACCAATGCCGTCTGTCTACTGCAGCACTGAAACATTCCATCAAAACTGCTAACAAGTTGTAAGGCTGACACTGTCTTCCTATATCATCCGTTCTGAAACTCTGAACCAGTATGCATTCGGCAGATAACACAAGTAAGAGTTTCTATTTTTAAAAGACTCCAATTCGGAAGGCAGTCTTCAAATGAACAACACTCTTCTTAATTTGTCTATGGAATGAGTTGATTTGTTTAATTTTACTTCAGAGTAAGCAAACAAATTTTAAAGGATATCTGCATCTAATAATGTACTTTAAAAAACTGTTGAAATATATCAACTGCTCTATCTTATTTTTGGACAATTTGTAGTAAATAAGAAACATTACTATTTTCCACTAATGAAGAGAAAATTTACATAGTGCATCACTATGTGGGGAGACTGAGAAGTGACCCCATTCTGTTCAGCAGAAAGATTTCACTGCAGAGAGATTTTCCACTAATGAAGAGAAAATTTACATAGTGCATCACTATGTGGGGATGAGAAGTGACCCCATTCTGTTCAGCAGAAAGATTTCACTGCAGAGAATATGTGAAATGTAGCTGTGGAGTAAAATTCAAAGAAGGACCTTTAGTATGCACACACAAATAACATCCTGGTGAGCTATTTACATTTAGATTAATAATCATTTATGAAGAAAGTAAAGATCGTATTAATGTGACACTCGATGCAAGTTTTGTTTACAATCAAGAGTCTTTCTAGATGTGTAAAAACGGTGCGTCACCCTAGCATTTCCAATTCTTAAAAACCAAAGCACTTCAAGAATATGAGCTCATTCCTTCCCGAGATTTTCACAAAACGCACAGAAGGTCCTGACATTGTGCTAAGCATCTGAAACTGTGTGAAGGAATAAAAATAACCACTCTAGTAGAATGAGAGTTAATAATATCCCAAGTGAGCCAACTGCTTACTATATTCAGAGAAGAACAGTAGAAAGCATGATAAAGCTGAGAGAATTAAATGTATTCTGATGGCTAGTACTGCAATATAAAACAAGACAGTCAAGAGTGTCATGTGACTGAAGCATAGACGGCAAGAAGTACACCCTCCAAGTCATCAGAGAAAAGGTTCCAGAAATACTTGAACAAGTCAAGTGCCAGTTGCAAGAGCATGCCGACTCTGTCTAGAATCAGTTGAAAGACAGTCCTCCTATACAAAAGTCTCCTTTGCATTTTTTAAAATGTTTTTGCTGCTTCGAGAAGAGATTGGATATGGGAAGACAAGACTGATCTGTAAAGATCTTTATGACAAGGAACCAAAACTACTCCCAAGCAAGAGCAAGCCTGGAAGAACAGCTCACCTCCCAGATGAGGCCATCACCGTGCAATGTGAGTCCGCCCAACTGAGCACTCCAGAGAGGTGGCACAACACCAACCGCCTCTCCAGAAGCCCTTGAAGAACCAGAGCTGAGAAGACATAACCAATCAGGCCCATGGCCTGACCCAGGGCACCTGCCCATCACCCTGTGCAAACCACAAGCCTTGCCTGTTTCTCTTTTCTATAAAATCTGTAAAGTTTCTCTCAGCCCCGTGAAAACAGACTTGATATCACCAAAACCATGATTAAGAATTTTAATCTCACCTGCTATTAATTCCTTTTGTCAGGTGACAAAAGGTATCTGCAAATCCAGGGATCACAGCCTGGACATCTTTGGGGGACCATGATTGTATGGATAAGGGTCAAGACACTGCCTGGGTAGCAGGGGACACAACAAGGTGTCAATAAGACCAACCGCTAGAAGTGAGCAGCCTGAAATTAACAAACCAAGCTGAGTACAGCACATGGGGTCCAGGAGAAGCCATTTGTCCTGCAAATTAAAGTCTATTTATTATACTGTTCTCTCAAGCAGCCACAGTGATGCCTGCCTGCTTCATCAGCACGCAGGGGGCTGAAGAAGCATGGCCATCCGGAGCAAAACCACTTTAGGAATGATTTTCTAAAGCTAAACAAAACTTACCAAACATACCAGAGAAAAGGATCTTTTATTCTGAGGAATTAGGTTTGTTGTTCAGAAAGCAATAACTCGTGCGACTTTCTCTAAAACAAACAGATGAACAAACAATCAAACAGAAGCAGGTGTCAGTTCCATGTGGCTGGTTTCCTCCCTATGGTCGTCACAGACCCCAACTGTACCTGCTGTGAAGTACTGGAGACAGAAGTAAGGAGAAGCAAGCAGCAGAAGGGGTTTTATGTGTAGGGAGAAGATACCAAAGGCTAAAGCCAGGAAGTTTCTTGACACGTTAGCTCCATCCCTTCCCTTCAAAGACTGCTTCAATGAGCACCTAAGTACACCCCTCATAGCTACACTGCATTCAACTTGTAATTCATGAGTCCTAATATTAAAGAGTAAAAAAACGATGAAAGGATGTCAGTATTTACAGCACTAGGGAGGATTCCCGCATCTTTTAATCTCCTGTAAAATATGTAAGATACTTACATATAGTTTTATTCAATTAGATAGGCCACTCGTGTAAGAAATGGCAGGATATAACTTATTTCTTCAAAACATTTAGTTCATGGGAAGCTTCTTAAATCCCCTAAGAAAATAGAATTAGGTTGAATATGTCTTCCACCCCACTTCCCTTCCTTTTATTGAATGCTTACACAACTAAACCCATAAAATCTCCCCTTCACCCTCTTTTCTCTGCACCAGGGAATGCTGGCTGGGGGAAGTTTCTTCCTTGAGTATGGTGAGTGACAAGATGAATTCAAGGACCAGCAAACTGTAAAAAAGGCAATTAGGTCAATTATAGCTATTAATTATAAAGCAGAAATTAAAATTCTATATAAACATCTGTCCCCAGGCCTTCCTAGCAATCACGCTCCTTTTGTAATAATCATCTAACCTCATGTACATGAGGTGATTGGAACTATAAAGTGACTTCTGGAGCTGTTTCTTGTCTGTATCAGTATCCACTTTACAAAATTAGAAATGAATGCTGCTGGATCAATGGTAAACAAAATGTAATATGAACACCCAATCCAACAGTGTTCACTTTAAATAGAGACAAAATCCCACTAGGCATGGTGGCTGTAATGCCAGCTGAGGCTGGAAGATTTCATGAGTTCCATGACAAGCTGGGCTACTGAGCGACATGCTGTCTCAAAATTCCCAAGCTTCAAAACAATGAAATTGTGATACACGCTAAAATAAATATGGACCTTAAAAACAGCATGCCAAATGAAAAGAACATATGCTGCACTATTCCACCCCACAGAGGTACCTGGAAACCTCATATCCAAAGAGACAGAACAATAGTATTTACCAGGAGCAGTGGAAGAAAACTAGGGAGTTATTGCTCAGTGAGTAGAGTTCTTATAAAGCACAACAAAAACTCCTGAGGATACAAAGTGATGATGGTTGCTACGTCAAAGTACCTGATGTCAGAGAAGCAAAATAATGAATTGAACACAGTTCCCAAAAGATGAAGAACAAATGACCAATAAAGATGAAAAATATTCTGTGTGATGTTTTATTATGTTTAGGTATGTTCCTGTCATCCCTGATCTCAAGACCTTTATCATGAAGGGATATTGGACCTTGCCAAAGTCTTCTTCAGCATCTAGTTGAGATATCACGTGGTTTTTCTTTTTCAATTTGTTTATATGGTAGATCACATGATAGATTTTTGTTTGTTGAACCATACCTGCATCCCTGGGATGAAGCCTACTTGATCATGGTGGATGATTTTTCTGATGTGTTCTTGAATTCGATTTGCCAATATTTTGTTGAGTATATTTGCATCAACATTCATGAGGGATATTGGTCTGTAGTTCTCTTTCTTAATTGTGTCTTTGTGTGGCTTGGGTACCAAGGTAACTGAAGCCCCGTAAAAAAAGTAAAGAGAGTTTGGCAATGACTCTTTGCTTCTATTGTGTGGAACACTTTGAGGAGTATTGGTATTAGCTGTTCTTTGAATTTCTGGTAGAATTCTGCACTGAAACGATCTGGCCCTGGGCTTTTTTTGGTTGGGAGACTATTGATGATTGCTTCTATTTCATTAGGGGTAACAGGTCTATTTAAATTGCTTTCTGTTCTTGATTTAATTTTGGCAAGTGATATCTATCCAGAAAACTGTCCATTTCCTTTAAATTTTCAAATTTTGGAGTACAGGTGTTCAAAGTATGATCTGATTTCCTCAGTGTCCATTGTTATTTCCCGCTTCATTTCTGATTTTATTAATTTGCATGTTCCCTTTCTGCCTTTTGGTTACTTTGGATAAAGGTTTGCCTATCTTGTTGATTTTCTGGAAGAACCAGCTCTTTGTTACATTGATTTTTTGTATTGTTTTCTATTTATTTATTTGTTTGTTTGTTTGTTTGTTTTTCGAGACAGGGTTTCTCTGTGGCTTTGGAGGCTGTCCTGGAACTAGCTCTTGTAGACCAGGCTGGTCTCGAACTCACAGAGATCCACCTGCCTCTGCCTCCCGAGTGCTGGGATTAAAGGCATGTGCCACCAACCAGCCCTCAATTTGATTATTTCCTGGCATCTACTCCTCCTGGGTGAGTTTGTTTCTTTTTGTTCTAGAGCTTTCAGGTGTGTTGTTAATTCTCTAGTGGGACTATTCTCCAGTTTCTTCATGTGAGCATTTAGTGCTACGAACTTTCCTCTTAGCACTGCTTTCAAAGTGTCCCATAAGTCTGCGTATGTTGTGTCTTCCATTCTCATTGAATTCTTTTTTTTTTTTTTAATTTCTCCCTTTGTCCCAGGAATGGTGCAATTGCACACTGTTCAATTTCCATGAGTTTGTAGGGTTTCTGCAATTTGTGTTGTTATTGAATCCTAATTTTAAAGCATGGTGGTCTGAAAAGATACAGGGGGTTATTCCAACTTTTTTGTACCTGTCGAGGTTTGCTATGTTGCCGAGTATGTGGTTGATTTTAGAGAAGGTTCCATGTGGCACTGAGAAGGTATATTCTTTTGTGTTTGGATGGAATGTTCTATAGATGTCCGTTAAACCCAACTGGGTCATAACTTCTGTTAGTTCCTTTGTTAAGTTTCTGTCTGGTGGTCCTGTCTAGTGGTGAGAGTGGGGTGTTGAAGTCTCCCACTACAAGTATGTGAGGTTTTATGTGTGATTTGAGTTTTAGTAACGCTTCTTTTACGAATGTGGATGCCTTTGTATTGGGGCATAGATGTTCAGAATTGAGACTTCATCTTGATGGATTTTTCCTGTGATGAATATGAAATGACCTTCTTCATCTCTTTTGATAATAAAAAAGATGCTATCAGAGAAACGCAAATTAAAACTATGTTGAGATTCCATCATAAAAACAAATAACAAATGCTGGAGAGGATGCGGAGCAAAGGAAACCCTTATTATATTGCCAGCGGAAATATAAATTAATCCAGCCATATGGAAATCAGTATAAATTTCCTCAAAAAACCAAAATTAGATGTACCATATGACTCAGCTGTATCACTTTGGACATTTACCCAAAGGACTTTAGAAAGATACATAAAATAATGTATGCATATATGACATAAAAGTAGAAGCCAAACTAGGAGGATAAAGGGGACTAAATGGAGGGTGAGGGGAGAGGAAGGGAAGGAGAGAATGGTATGAAGAGGAATACATTACATACTTACATGAAAATGTCTTATGTAATACAGTACCATATACAATGAATATATATCAATAAAAACACTATCTTTAGGACGAAATACTTGAATGACTTTGTGACCTAGATGGAAAGCAATTCATAAACACTAAAAATTATTACTGTGTTACCATGTAAACAACATCAGAGAGAAAAGTGTGAGAACAGAGCTGTAGACAGGAAATTCTTTAAGAATGGATGGGAAATGCTTCACTCTCTATTAAGAGACCCCAAGAGTATGAATTATTCCCCAAATACATGTACTATGAAGGGAACAGGAACCAAGAACTAAAAGACACATTTTCTTTTCTTTACTGAAACTAATAACCATTACCTTAAAAATTGGTTGAAAAAAAGTAAATGTTGGTATGCATCTTCTATCACAATTTTTAAAAGATAAATATGGCTAAAATTTTAAAGCAAGAAATTCTAAGAATTAGTATTTTTCAAAGAAAACATTTTGTGTCTTAGACAAAAGAAAAAGGAGATAAACTGTAGGGAGTCACCCTAGCCCCGCCCAATAGTCCTGGGGCAGGTACCAGGTGGACCCAGGGACTCGCCCAGAGGGGCGTGGTGAAGGAAAGCCGGGGTGACATAAGGGAGCTTCTTAAGGGGCTGCACGTGGGGACGCTGGCCCCCTTTTGTTCTGGCCGCGCTGGCTGGGTTCTATAACCTAGCTCTGGCCTGTGTTTTACCTTGGTGTCTTCTGGAATAACGAGACCTTAATCCTACACCTGGCACTCAACGGAATCTCACGACCCTGAAGAGCCAACGGGCACCCAGATAATCCAGTGAGTTTCACCCGCGCGTGCGGGGCGTATCCCCTCCCCCGCCCTCTCCTCCCAGGGCCCCGGTGCAGCTCTGACTCCCGCCGCGGGGTCCGCAGATTCCTCCGCTTCCCGCGGAGCACCAGTGCACGCCGCGGCTCAGCGGCGAACAGCAGGGCTCTTGCCTAATCGCGCCACTGGGACTTCTGACGCGCCGCGTGAGAGCTGCCCGCCTGCAGGAGACCCGGCCTGGCTTTGTCTGGCCCTCCGGGTACCTGGGAGAATTCTCCCGGGCACTCTCTTTAGATAGCTACCTGTGTGCGCTTAGGGCCTGAACGCAGAGCTCCTGCACGCACAGGTGAGGGTTTTCAGCTTTCATTTACAGGGAAAGCAC